CCCCAAAACCCCAAAACCCCAAAACCCCATTTTACTAAAGTAATCATATTACTAAGAGTATCAAATTATTCTAACAAAAATTCTTATGAATATATTAAAGCAATAGCATTTTGTGGTAGGTATGAGAAATCTAATGTCATTTGATAATTCCAGCCCTTTTTTTGTAGTCTTCATTGAGAAAATACTCAATCTCTCTGCTTCTAATTTCTTGAAATTCTTCATCTTTGAATTCTCTTAAAGCATTATCAAATAACTTCTTCTTTAACTGTTAATTACTCTCTGAAATCATCTTGGCAACATTTTCTGCTTCCTATAGTTTATGTTTTTATATTTCAACATATGCTTCCTAGCGTTTTTGGCTATTAATCAGCCTCTTTAATTAATCTTCATCTAACTGAAACCGCTTTTTTTCCATTTTAATATCTTTCCTAGCAGATTAACATTCACTCACCAACAAAGTCTGTACTTTTTTAACATTATCAAATATTTGCTGAGACTTATTTCTTTTTATATTTTTCAAATTGACTGCATTTATTGTCTCAAGATCTTTGCCTTTCTCTTGAATTTCAATTAGGGATAGGTTGTTATGATTTTTCCTAGCAGAATTCAATCTAAAATCTCTATAGGTTTTTGACACTCTACTTTTATTTTCACCACCCTCAAAGGTTCTCTCATGATTAATAGATGAGATCACTTTTAATCCAAATTAATTTGTTGATCTGGAAGAATTATTTCTCAATTCCCAGGCTAGAGACTTATCATTGAACATTCCCTTAGTAAATCCAACTCTTTAAAGCATCTCCTTGCGTTTTTTCTTATTGTTGAGAACCTGTTGATGCTTATCAAGGATTTTGAACATTATTCGTTTTTCAGATAATTTCTTATAAGGAGAATCACTTTACTCAGATATTTAAGAATCACTAAGCGCCTAAATTTGGCTTTAGTTTGTGTTTGAAGAAAAAGATTTTTCAATAACATCAATAGTCTTATTTTGATTTTAGTAATTGGAATAGTAACTGATATTATTATTGTTTCTATTTTATCTTGATGTCAATTGTTCTGTGTTGACATCCCTTCTGCTAACATTAAAATATTTAGATTAGCCAACTGTATCCACTTAATTTTCATATGGATTTTATTGGACAAACATTTTGAATTTTACTCCATCTTTCTCGTTTTTAATCACTGAATTAGTCTGCTGAATACTTTTCATCGACAGTTCTTTATTTGATCTCTGGCTCATTGAAGAACTGACATTTATTGGAAACATTTTCTCTACTTTTCGAATTTCCTTGTTTACTTACTTTCTAATCTGTCTTCTCTTTTCTTACTTTTATTTTTGCCTATCAGTGACAATGTTTATTGAGGACTTATAATCATTAATGTTAAATCTTAATTTTGCACTCTTAATCTCAACACTATTAGTGTCTGACGAGGACTTACTTGTTGATGACTCTAATGAATTCTCTTCTATTTATTTTTAGTTTTCTTAGTTTTAACTTGGTAATCTTCATTCATTACTCTATTTAGATAATTATCTAGCTCTGCTAATAGGTCTTGATTATTAAAACTATATGTCCTATTCTATGTTTAACCGACTTAGTCTCATTTTATGTTATCCCTCTACAAACTTGATTGAAGTTCTAACTGCATTTGAAGCAACCGATTAAAAATAAGTATTTCTTCCTAGGCCTGTGTAAGCCTGGCGCATAGAGTCCACCTGCTCTAAGAACTTTAATTATTACTTAGTATCGAGTGATTTTCTTGAAGTCATTAATAATCAAGCTTTTACAAAAATATTAAATTTTACAATTACACTTGATTGTAATCAAATTATATCACATGGGGTTTTGGGGTTTTGGGG